TGACAATAATTCCACACTAACTATACAGTAATTACTACATGTACAGTATATGTACTTGAAGTGTCCTCCTACAAGAGCTAGTACTGATACAGTCTCTGATGCTGATAGACTATCCTCTGGTACACTAATCCTCAGTCCATACTCCTCCCAGTTCATCAGTTGAGGTTTGTCTCCTTGAACTAAGAACAACTTCTTCCCTGCTATTTGGGACTCACTCAGACCTTCCAAATTATCTATAGAAAAGTATAACACGTGAAATTATGTATTGTTAAAATGTGTATGTAATTAGGGACAAAGATGAGACAATGAACCATAATTCATGTAAAGCTACAGTGAATGACAATGTACAGTACATGAAGCAACTTGAAAAATTCATAAAAAATCAATTTTTCTTGGAATCAGCTCAAACTTTCTTCCTTTTCAATTTTCACAAAATTTGGCTCGAGACTATGTACTATAGTACAGGGACTTTCGTCCAATTTTGTAGCAATTTCAAAAATTTGTAAAAAATTTAATTTTAATCAGAATTAGCTCAAACTTTCTACACAACACAAGTACATAAACAGGCATCAGGGAAAATTATAAAAATGGAAATTTTTTTACTTTTCATTCGAACAAAATTGGCCCGAGATGCTGTACTATAGTACAGGGACTTTCGTCCAATTTTAGAGTAACTTCAAAAATTTGTAAAAGAATTTAAATTTGATCAAAATTGGTTCAAACGTTCTACACAACATATGATGAACAAGTACATGTATATGCATTTAAAAATTATAAAAATGAAAAAATTTCTACTTTTTCATTTTTTGCAAAGTTGACCTGAGACTACATGTACGTTACTAATAGTACAGGGACTAACCTTGTGATGGTACAAGATAGTTGAACTGAATTTCTTTGTTAAGAGCTAAAGTATAAAAGTAAAAATGAAATAAATAAATAATGATATACTTGTTTGTGTTGTTTGTATTTCTTTGTTTTCAGTTTCAGTTTGAGTCTCAAATTCATCATTTGAATCTTTTACTAAAAATAATGATAATTAATAAACATGTACACAAGTCTAATTATGATGTACATGTACATGTATAGCCACTATAGGGTTTGGTGGATTATGTTCTAAAATTGCTCTATTATCCTATGCTATAATTCTCAGGAAACAGCTCTATAATGCTCTACCAATCAGCCACCATGCTTCCAATTATGCCCATGAATTTCATAATAACAACTTAGCCCCACCAAAAAATGTGAGCCAGTGATTCAATTATGAAGTTCTTGAAAGTATTGTGAGCAATAGTAGCTGTTTAAACATTAAAACAGTTAATTTATTGAGTGCAAGTGCCTGTTTATTGCATTTCTTAACGTATTTTTTTTCAAAATTTTCTTTCATAGATCTATTATGCTTACATTATGCTTATGCTTTTGGGCCCTATTATGCTCAAAATTATGTTGGCATAATC